GGCAGTCAGGCCCACAAGGAAGAAGGCAAGGCAGGTGTGTCTTCCTTTGTTTCTTTTTTATTTTTTTCTATACTTTACCTTGTTTAAGGAGCTCTGGTGGCATAGTGCCTAAGGCATTTGACTGCTAACCAAAAGGCTGGCGATTCAAACCCACCAGATACTCCTCAGAAGGAAGGTTGGGCAATCTACTTCCATAGTGATGTTGTTGTTGTTGTTGTTATGTGCCATTGAGTCGGACCCGACTCATAGCGACCCCTCCTTGGGTTTCCGAGGCAGTATCACTACAGAGGTAGATTGCCCCTTCTTCCTTCCGAGGAGTGGCTGGTAGGTTTGAACCTCCAGCGTTCTGGTTAGCAGTCAAATGCCTTAGGCACTATGCTATCTCAGAAACCCAAGGAGGGGTCGCTATGAGTGGTATCTGACTTGACGGCAGTGCATTTGGTTTGGTTTTTTGGTTTACCTTGTTTATTTCTCAACTGGAAACTGTATTATAGGGTAGTTACATATGAAGTAAAAAGTAGGGGGAACCCAAAAACCAAACCAAACCCATTGCCATTGAATCTATTCAGACTCATGGTGACCCCATGTATTACAGAGTAGAACTCCACCATAGCGTTCTGTTGCCTGCTATCTTTTGGTTACAAAACTGTAGATCGCCAGGCCTTTTGTGCAGGCACCACTGGGGGGATTTGAACCACCAACTCCTAGGTCAGTAGTTGAGCACAAACTATTTGCACTACCCAGGGATTAAAAACCCAGTTTGCTTTGAATTTAATGTCCTTGCCCTGAATTACTACTGTAAAAAGCAAAAAATACCAAGCCCACTGCCAGCGAGTTGATTCCACCTCTTAGCGACCCCATAAGACAGAGTAAAACAGCCCTATAGGATTTCCAAGTAAACCTTTATCTTGAAAAACCACTAACCTTTCAGTTTGCAGCCGAATGCTTTAGCCTCTGCACCACCAGAGCTCCTAAGTCATTACAGTAACTTCTGCTAAATTCCCCATTGCCAAATACCTTTATCCCCTCATTTTCTACTAAACCATATATGTGTTTAGGGAAAAAAAAAAATATTATAAAAAGGAGCTCTGGCGGTGTAGCGTGTAAGGCATTTGGTTGCTAATCAGAAGGTCAGCGGTTCAAACCCCCCAGCTGCTCCACAGGAGGAAGATGAGGCAATCTACTTCCGTAAAAATTTATAGCCTTGGAAACCCAAGGGGGTCCCTATGAGTTGGAATCCACTTGAGGGCAGTTGTTTTTTTTCTGATTTTCTTAATTTTTTAACTGGCCTTCATGTGCACATTAATCTATATGATTATTATAGATTAACCATAATCTTTACTTCATGACACTTCCATCATGCACTCAATCTCTCTCCCTCCTTCTCTATTTTTCTTAAGTATGTATACCTGCAAACTCTCCACCCAAAAAATAGATTCTTGACATTATCAAGTCACACTTTGAGAGGCATACCGTATCCGGTCTCTGTGTTTAACTTCTTTCATTTCTGCCCCATTCATATTCATTTTTTTCTACTCCACTCCTCCTCTCACCCTGTTCTCTCTTTGAATCCTTCTCAATCTTTTATTTCCCCTCAGTGGGGGAAAGAAGCTCTTGTTCTTGTGATTATAGAAGTAAAACATGGTATTAAAAAAAAATGATTCAAATACCACAGAAGCATCTGAAGAGGAAAGTAAAGCAGCTACTCTTGATGTTTGTTGTGTATCTCTTTCGATTGTGCTGATATGAAATATTTTGATACAAGCAGGAGCAGAACGTTCCATGGCACAGTGGTTAGGAATACTCCCTCTTTTGCCCCAAGTTATGTGACCACAAGCAAGTTACCCAACCTTCTAGGTCCGTTTCCTCATCTGTATCATGAGGATCATAATATAGTACCTATTTCTAATGTTATGAAAGATTGAATGAAATCATCTCCATAAAGGAGCCCCTGGGTGGTGCGAACATTGACGCACTCAGTTGCTAACTTAAAGGATGGCCATTTGAAGTCCACCCAGAGGTGCCTCAGGAGCAGGGCCTGGCAACCTCCTTCCAAAAAATCAGCCACTGAAAACGCTATGGGGCACAGTTTTACTCTGACACACTTAAGGTCGCCGTAAGTTGGAAACGAGTCTACGGCAACTGGTTTTGTTTTGGTTTTGACAGTGAGTGCTTAAAAATATCAGCTCCTTCTGTAGTTATTATTCACTTACTATATCATGAACATCTTTCATTGTTGATATAGTATCATCTAAGCCTTCTGGAAGAGCCCTGGTGGCACAGTGGTTAAGCACTCATCTGCTAACTGAAATTTCAGAGGTTTGAACCTACTAGCCATTCCACAGGAGAAAGATGAGGCAATCTGCTGCTGTAAAGATTACAGCCTTGGAAACCCTATGAGGCAGTTCTACTCTGTCCCACAGGGTTGCTATGACTTGGAATCGACTCAATGACAACAGGTTTGGTTTGTTTCTTTGGTTAACCTTTTTGTTAATAGTTGGAATAATTGCTTAGTTCTCCATCTCACAAAGACCTCAGTGTTTATCTAACAAGTTCCCTCTAGATGGGATACACTTATTGAATGAGTCTGCTTTTGATGGAAGCTAGTTGGTCATGTCAGAAGGGACCTTTCTCTGGAGAAGGATGTCGTGCTGGTAAAGTGGAGGGTCAGCAAAAGAGGGGAAGGCCCTCAACACGATGGACTGACACGATGGCTGCAGCAATGGGCTCAGGTATAGTAGGGATCTTGAGGCTGGCTCAGGGCCAGGCAGTGTTTTGTTCATTTCGTTGTATATATGGTCGCTATGAGTTGGACATGACTTGACGGTGCATAACAACAACAACAACAACTTTTGATGGATATTTATAGTGTTTCCATTTTGGGGGTATTGTAAACAATGTGCTGTGGATACCTTGTCACAGTGGTCTAGCTATCTCCTGGGGGTAAATTTTCTGAATTGTAACTGCAGGTAAAGGGTGTGCACAGGGTTCAGTCCTTGGACCTCTTTCTTCTTAGGTCTCATTCATGCCCTCAGGTATCTCATCCTGCTCAGGGCTGTAGAAGGAAATTAGTTACCTTCAAGTGGATTCTAATTCGTGGTTACCCTATGTGTGTCACAGCAGAACTGTGCTCCATAAAGTTTTCAATGGCTGATGTTTTGGAAGCAGATTGCCAGGCCTTTCTTCCAAGGTACCTCTAGAACCACCAACCTTTTGGTTAGAAGTTGAGTGCTTATATTTTTGGTGAAAATGTACCTAGCAAAACAGTTTCCCATTCACCAATTTCTGCATGCAACGTTCAGTGATATTGGTTACATTTTTCAGTTTGTGACAACATTCTTATCATTTCCATTCTAGTTGTTCCACTCCCATGGATATAGTCTGTCACTCAAACTTCTTGTCTCTGGTGTAGAACCCCCCTTACTTCTTTGAGGTTGTTTTTTTCCAACATTGGCTTCTCAGTGAGGCCTTCCTTGATTTCCCCTTTAAAATCCTGCTCTACACCCATCCCCACTCTTCCCCTACTCCCTTTCTTCTTCTTTTTTTTTTCCTTCTAGTGGAGTGATCAATTGTCTCCATTTACTTAGAATGGAGAGATTTTCCGGGACACTAGACTTTCAGTTTTAAAACTAGGTAGGTCTGGGGTGTTGTTCACCCAACACTTATCACATCCAGTTTACTCTATATTTTATTTATTTTGTTAACTCTCTCTCGCACTAGAATGTGAGCTTCACGAGGACAGATGTTTTTGTCTGCCTTGTTCACTGCAATATCCCAGGTACAGGGAGTATGTTTGGCTTATAGTAGATGCTCAATAAATATTTATTGAATGAATGAACAAAGGAATGAACTCTTGGTCAGCCTGTTCCCCAGAGGTATTATGTCAATGAGGTTTTCTTGGGCTTCTTAAAATACCCTACTGTGGGTAGGTGGCTTCAGGAGGAGGCTGGCAAACTGCTGGGCCTAGAATGAGGCAAAGACTTATGCCTTGTCAGTTTCCTTCCAAAGAGTGCCCAGCAGTGACCAAGTCTGCTGGGAATGGCTTACAGTGTTAGGACCCAGGCTGGGGGCCATTGCTTGTGGTCTGCTGCCCACTGCCACCCCCTGGTGGTCCCTTATGAGAAAGCAGCCTCACTCAGCGAGAGGACCAAGCAAAGGTATTCCTCCCCTCCCCTTTCCTCTAACCTTTTTCCTCCTATCTCCTCTTTTCTCCCCTTCACTCTTTCCTCTATCTGTTCTTCTCTTATACCTTCCCTCTCTGCTTGCCCTATTACTCTGTTATCTAACAGCAAAAGCTTTGACCTTAGTCCATTGAGTTAAAATCTAGCTCTGGTTCTACTAGCTGTGTGACCTTGAGCCAATTACTAAACCTCTCTGAGCCTAGGTTTCCTTATCTGGAAAATGAGGCTTATAACTCCTAAGAGTGAAATGAGATAGTCCACATAGAACACCCAACATAGTCCTTGGCCCTATAGATGTTTATCAATTCTTATTACTGTCATGCTGGCACTCAATGGATGCTCAGCCATTGGTAATTGACTTTCTTTCTTCATCCCAGGTAACCCAGGCTGTACATTAGCCTTACATAGGCACTCCTAAAAATACCCAGGCCCTCCCTATCCCAGACCAATTTACCAATGAAATCAGAAATCTTTGGTGGTGGACACAGGCAGGCCCAGGTGATTCTAATGAACAGCCCAGTTTGAGACCCACTTGAGTGACCACTGGCTGGGTTACCTTGGACTTTCCCAGTCTTAGCAGTGAAAGTTCTGAGTCCCAACAACCCCTCAGCCCCAGGAAAACCAAGACACTCGTTCACCTCCCCTCCCCACAAGAACAGACTCCTATCTTCTGGATCACCAGTCAGGCTACATTGAGCATTTGAAAGCATAAGCTTGGGGTAGTGGGTCACAGAGGCTACAGGGACAGCCGTGGCAGAAGTTGGGCTTGGAGCAGGGAGCATGTGGGTGGAGGTAGGCAAGGGTGAAGCCAGCTGCAGCTCAGTTGGAGAGGTCCCCGTCAGGCCCCCTGGGGCTCTGGCCACCAGCTGCCTGCTCCACGGCCTTCATCCAGCGGTCCCTCAGCTCCTTGGTCTCAGCCTTGAATGTGTACAGCTGGCCTGACTGTTGCAGCTGGAAGACCCAGGGGTCCTCCTGGGGCCCAGCAGTCACCTGGTAGCCCAGCAGAGGTATGGAGGTGTGAGCCTGCATGTCCTGGGAGGGAAGGGGAGAGCAGTGGGCCACTGTTCCCTTCCCTCCCCCCGCCCCCCCATGACACTTCAGCTCTACCACTTCAGATAGTCATTTTGAAAGTAACAGCCACACACCTGCTCCTCACAGCCCATACACCCATAAAGGGAGGTGGGCTGGTGGGAGGACAGTGAGGAAGAAAAGACCCTAACACTCAGAGGGTGGAGCACTTGTGACCTGGAGTCTGAGCCCAGCTCTGAAACCCACTAACCTTGTGACTTGAGGGTACCATGTTCCCAGGATGCCCCAGTCTCCTCATTTAACGTATGGAACCAACAATGCACACCCCCTCCCAACATACACACATATACACTCTGGGAGGGCAAGGCCTGGGCAGGTGGTGGCAGTATTACCTGAGGGGCAGCATAGAGGTAGAGAACGAGAGGGTCATCCAAGGGGATCACGCACCAACCCCGGGGGCTGCTCCTGCCCCACCTGTCCCCAAGGAGCTGCAAGTAGCTGCATATCACGCTGTGCTCCGACCATGCTGCAGACCCTTTCTGAAACCAAAGAGAGGGACTGTCAGGGACCAGAGAATCCTCTGTGTGTCAGACCTTGGTCTGGGGCTTGACAACTATTATTTCTCAGCTTTGTAGCAACCCTGCAAGAAAGAGTGATTTGTCTCAGAGGTTCGGAGAGGTCCCATCCTATGTCTATGGTCATAGGTGGCAAGTGGCGGAGCTGTGACTACACTGTCAGCTACACAGTGTAACTGACACTACACTGTGACTACACTACACACACATGCGTGCGCTCAGGGGACAAGTGCTGTGAGATCTTTTCACCTGTGAGTTGCCCTGGGAACAGAACTGGGGCCAGAGAAGGGGCTGACCATGTCCTCTCCAGGAGCAGGCTATGTCACCCAGCAGTTAGGAAAGACCTGGGCAGGGGCCAGAAGATTGGAAGGGGGCAGATACCAATGGGAAGGGATCAACTTGAACCTGGGCGCTGAGCTTTGCTGGAATAGGCTGGGTGATTCTCTCACCTCCCAGGGACTGTGGGGTGTTGACCCGGCCTGTGGGGTGGTGATAGCCGATGTCTGGGCTGGTTGGCACTGTATCTGCAGAGCAAAGCTGAGCACAGCTGGTGCCCCAACAGCAGCGACGGAGCAGCCTGGGGAGTGCCTGTGGAGGTGGGGTGGCTCTGAGAGGCCCCAAGGCAGCAGAAAGAGCCTATGCGGCAGAGGTCAGAGAGCTGGCTCCTGACTTGTAGGGTGACCTCGGGCAAGTCACTTCTCTGGTCCTGCATCCTACTCCATGGGGAGAGGAAGGATAGGACTAGCTAGTCCCTGAAGTCCCTTCCAGTTAGAATGAAGCCCCATTCTGCCTCTGTGGCAGTGGGACCCTCTCCTGGAGCCTCAGCTGCAGCCTGTGTAAAATGGAATCAGTGATACCAGCTCTCTCCACCTCCTGGGACTGCTGGGCATGGCATGGGGACATAGGCACGAATTGTCCAGGAGGCTGTGTTATTATTGGACAGGGACAGGAGGGGCAGAAGAGCCTATATAACAGGGCTGGAGCCAAATGTTGCATTCATTTGGTGATAGATCTAGTGCTGTTTGGGCTGAGGAAGGGCTGTGGGGTGGTGGTCTGTGGGCAGAAGAAAGGAGGGAGTAGAAGGGTCAATATGACTGTGTCTGACCTGTTTCTCAGCACCGAGACCGAGACCATGCCAACATGTGGCACATGTCTGCTGGATGTGCGGATAATAGGGGTAGTGGTGGCTGCCCTCACCTCCAAGATGCCCCTTTTCTTGTCCTCTTTGTCCTTGGGGAGCATGTTTCCAGTGAGGAACATGTAGCAGTCGCAGCAGACTCGGTTGGGCCTGTTGTCGTCATACTTCAGCTCAGCCCGGTAGTCTGAGCACCTGGCACACACCACCTGCCAAGGATGGCCGGGAGAGGGCCGTGGGGCCTGAGCAAGGCCTGGGAGGCCGTGCTTACACCTGGCCAGGGGTAGGAGGTGAGAACAGCTAGGGCCAGGAGGAAGACAAAGAAAGCTGCAAAAGAGGTGTGGAGGCAGAGAGGGGATACCTGGAGGTGGTGCGGGCAGACAGCTCAGACTCTGGGCTCCCTCAGCCTAGACTCTGAGACCCAGCCCTGCTGCAAGTGCCATAACTCCTCTCCCCTTTAGATACTGCTTATGTGAAACAGGGATTAGTTCATAACTCTACTTTGTAGGAAAATCAGAAAAATCAAGTTCTGTACAAAGCCATTAACCCCAGTGGCTGGAAGATCGGAGGAGGACTTCCTTGGATGTTTTGTTCACATTGGATTCACTTCTCCGAGGGCTCTCCACTCTGCTCTCTCAACTGGCTCCCAACAACCCCAGCAGACTGGGGGGGGCATCTCTCCTCACCTGACATCAAGGATAGGGCAACCCAGAGGGGACAGCACCTTGCCAAGGCCCATGCAACTGGTCCTCCACCAACATATATTTCTTTAAAGTTTTACAGTTTAGCTTTAAGATTCAGGCAAAATTTGCATTCCATGCAATCACATAGTGAGGTGTGTTCTAATACAAAAATATCCCCTGAAGTCTTCTAAAACCAAATAATAGTTTAGCTTAACTAGGTGGTGTGGTGCCTAAGGCACTTGACTGCTAACTAGAAGGTTGGCAGTTCAAATCCACCAGCCACTCTTTGAAAGGAAGATTGGGCAATCTACTTCCGTAGAGATACTGCCTCAGAAACCCAAGGAGGGGTCTCGATGGCACATAAGAACAACAACAACAGCAAAGAATGTCTGCCTTCAGCATTGTGGTTTTTAAAACCTATCTATATGGGATCAAAGTAACAACAACATTTGGAAAGATTAGATAGGAAACTTAGGGGACAGTGAGTTTATGTTAATGGAGAGGAACAACTCGGAAAAACAGGGTGAGAATGGTTGCACAACTTGAAGGATATAATCCGTGTCACTGAATTGTATATGTAGAAATGGTTGAATGTATGTATGTTCTGTGTATATTCTCAACAACATTGAATTATTATTTTTTTAAATAATGAATTAATGGTTTTGGTCAGGAAGATACGCCATGTCTACTCTGTGAACTGGGTCCACTCCGGCCCACCCTGGAGAAGCCCCCAAGAAGCCACCATGGATCGTACTGGGGAAACCAGGTGAATAAGACTTGGAAAGAAACACAATGAATGACTGGGAGGGAGACTGAGGTGTCACAATGGGTCCAAGATGGGGTCTTGGAAAGGGAGGGAGGTGGAGGGTGAAGGGTTATTCCTCAGTCAGAAGTAGCATTGAGGAAACTCATGTACACCCAGCACATGGCCTAGGGAGGGACCCACAGGAGAAGGCCTGGCCCCTGCCCCACCCTTACAAGGATACCGGTTTGGCAGGAGAGACAAAAACTGGGCACCCAAACCACCGAAAGAATGACTCACAAATTACAAAGCTATGCATGGCTATGAGAAACCCCCAAATCAGGGCAAGATTGGTTCTGACACCCCGACACTCTGACTATCCTGGGAATCTTGGATTCTTTTTTAATTGAGGGATATACATTTTTATATTATTATATTTAAATATATATAGTTACATAGTGTATTATTTTACATAGATTTATTTCTCCTCATTTTGAAAGTATTCCCAATTGACAGACAAGTTGGAAGAACAGTACAATACCTCCCAACCTAGATTCACCAATTGTTACATTTTAGCTTCCTGGGCTTTCACTCTCTAGATTTGCACTTTATTTTTCTTAAACCATTTGAGAATAAGTTGCCATCATCATGACCCAAAAACCCAAAACCCACTGCCACTGAGTCAATTCCTACTCATAGCGACTCCATATGACAGAGTAGAACTGCCCCGTAAGGTTTCCAAGGCTGTAAATCTTTCTCCCGTGGAACACATCTTTCTCCGGTGGAACGGCTGGGAGGGTTGAAGCACCAACCTTCTGTTTCACAATCGAGCCCTTTAACCAGGTGCCCCCAGAGTTCCCTGTCATCATAACATTCACCCTTAACTATGCAACTAGCATCTCCTAACAATAGGACCATTCTCTTACCTATCCATAATGTCATTAACATAACACACTGTCCAAAAAATAATAATAATAATAAAATAAAATAAACCCACCACCATCCAATCGATTCCGACTCATAGCGACCCCACCCCCACTGAGTTTCTGAGGCAGTAAATCTTTATAGAAGTAGATTGCCCAGTCTTCCTTCTGCAGAGTGACTGGTGGGTTTGAACCACCAGCCTCCTGGTTAGAAGTCAGATGCCTTAGGCATTGCACCATCAGAGTTCCCTAGCACACTATGTTGTTGTTGTTATGTGCCGTGGAGTCAGTCCCGACTCATAGCGACCCCTCCTTGGGTTTCCGAGGCAGTATCACTATGGAAGTAGAGTGCCCAACCTAGAAGTAGAGTGCCCAACCTTTCTTCCGAAGAGTGGCTGGTGGGTTTGAACCGCCAACCTTCTGGTTAGCAGTCAAGTGCCTTAGGCACGATGCTACCACAGCTCCACTATAACACTGATAAAATAGTATTATCTATGTATGTATGGTTCATGATCAAATTTCCTGGGTAAGTCTCAATAACAACCTTTGTAGCTGTCTTTTTCTCCCAGTCCAAGAGCCAATTAAGGATCATACATTTCATTTGTTGTTGTTAGGTGTCATTGAGTCTATTTCAACTCATAGACACCTCAGGTGACAGAGTAAAACTGCTCTGGGTTTTCTTGGCTTTACAGGAGCAGACAGGCAGGTCTTTCCCCACATGGCTCCAACCTTTTGGCTAGCAGTTGAGTGCTTAATCATCATGCCACCAGGGCTCTGACAACATTTTGTTTAGTTGTCAGACTATTTTATTAAGTTGGAAGGTAGGTACATGGGTGTTTCTGTATTCTTCTTTGTGCCTCTTTGTATTTCTTTACAATATTTAAACATTTTTTTAGGAGCTAATTATAAAATGAACTCAACTTTTATTTACAGGTGTGACTCACCAAGAACAGTACCTAATCCTCGGATCCTTTCTATTTGACTTTGGAATGTAGCTTGTCATTTACATCTGCACGTAGGTGTGTCCTAGAAATTAACTTTGTGTCCTGACTTAACACATTTTGGGGATACCTCCCTGACAGGATCCAACCTGCCCCAGCAGGACCTCTCCTGCCCCCTGGGGGTCATGACAGACTGAGGGCTTCTCTGCAGAGTAAACGGAGAAGGTTGTAATGTCAACAGAGAACAGCCTCACATACAGCAAGTACTTAAAAAGCAAAGCAAGATCTGCCTCTGATGGCCGGACCTGAGCTGCAAAGAGGGAGGAATGGACACCATTCCATCCTTAACAAGCTGGCAGCTGCTCCCAGTGAATGAGCCCTGCTGAGCTACTGAGAAGGGGAAGAAAAGGAGGAGAGGAAAGAGAATTGACTTCTTTTGTAGACTCCTCACTTCCATGCTGGAGGTAAGCATTATAATCCCCATTTCATACATGAAGAACCTGAGGCCTGAACCTGGAAAGTGGAGTTGGCAATAGAACCAACCAGATGCCTGAGTGCTAAGGACGTGACAAGAAGAGGAGGGGAAAGTTAGGTGAGACCAGTCAAGAAGAGAAGATGCAAAGGTGGAGGTGGGTGCATAACAGGCTGGTGAGGTCGTGGGGTGCAGGGCCTGAACAGGGCTGAGGGGTGGGTTTGGAAGCCCCTAGCCCAGAACTGGAGTCCATTTCCTGCTCTGGGTCTGGGGACTTTGATGAATAAGCAGCTTTGGGGTGCCTCAAGCAAGCCGGTTAACCACCCTGAGCCTCATTTCCCCATCAGTGCAATGGGGATAATAACAGCCCCTGCTTCAGAGGTGGGCACCATGCAGTCCAGAGGAAGGAACATACCACACCTGGCACAGATGAGTGCCAGCGTTACTAGGCTGTGTTGACTGAAGCTGGCATACTTAACAGGAAGTGGGGAGCAGGGCTGGAACTGGGAGTAGGGGACAAAGGTTGGACAGAGGGAAGCAGAGGTGCAGGCAGGAGCACTCACATAGCCACAGGCCCGGCAGTGGTGGCGGCGGCGTGTCAGGGCGTTGAAGGGCTCCTGGCAACGCATGCACATGGTCACCATCTTATCCCGGACCCACTGTGGCGCCCGGAGGCCCAGCTCCTCCGACTGCAGCTGTGGGAGAAGAGGGAGGGCATCAATGTGCCCATGAGAGTCCATGACTCTCTGCTGCCCACTCCCTGAGGCCCTGGGGTCTTCTGGCTGCCTGCTTGTGACAGGGATTATGTCTGTGATGCTTCCCCAATGTCTTCCACATGGAGCAGACCCAACGGATGAAGACCATGTGGGAGGTCAGTTACTATGATCCCTATTTTACAGATGAGGAAACTGGAGGTCAAGTGGCTCAGGGTTTCAAAATTGAAATCATACCATAGACACTCTCCAGAACCCCTACCTCACCATCCTTCTACTTTCCCTTGGTCTTTGATTTCTCAGACACTTTTGTACCCCAACCTGAGCCACTGCCTGAAACCAAGGAGATATAGATGAGGAAACTTCCCAGGGACTGATGCATATCGAGGCTCCCAAAGGCAATTTTTGCTAATAGGGGAAGCTTCAGCACTATAGTCACTGAGTAGGGTGATGTTGGGTGGGAGGGCTCCCCCCTATCTCTTCAAATCACAGGTGGTAGGTGACACTCCCCCTCCCTCTGAGCTCGCCTAGGTAGAGCAGAAAGAAGGAATAAGTTCTGTTTGGGGCTGGTAGCTACAGCAAGGGGTACAAAAGGCTTCATTTACCTCTCGCTCCAGAGTGTCTCCCTCAGGCCCCTGGACTGCAGCTTTGAAGGTTTCATTCCGCTTCTCAATTTGGTCAATGGCTGCTTGGCAGGCCTAGGGGTAGAGGGTGGAGGAAGTGTGCTCATCTGTCCCTCCATCCATGTAGTCAACAAACTTTGTTGAGAGCCTACTGGGTACCAGGTGCTGGATTCTAAGCACATTTTGACTGGCTCAAGGGGGAGAAACTATTAGCCCCAGATTATAGATGTGAAAACTGAGGTTCAGAGAGGTTAAATGACTTGCCCCAGACCACCCTGCTAGGCAGTGAGAGGGCAGCAAGATTTGAACCCAGGTCTGATTCCAAAGGGGGTATATAACTGCCCCTAAGTGACTCATTAAAAAGAGTGGGGAGCAGCTGGGTGCACTCAGGTCCTCTCTCTTACTCTTTTTCATACACACATGTGCACAAATAGATACACATTCACCCTTCTCTCTCAGCCTGGGTAGACTAGGCCACAGCCAAAAGAGGCCCTAGAGCATTCTGATACCTGCATCCAGGAAATCATTTCCTCCTGGGACCTGCTCAGAAAGCGAACACAGGTGTTGAGTGGAGCAGCTGCCTCCCCGTTTTCCCCACGCTCACCCGGTCCCCAGCTGGCCTACCGAGCTTGCAGCTCCAGAGTGCGCTGTTTCCCAGACACCAGGAAGGCGTAGGGGAACTCTGCATCACTCAGCTCCCGCACCTGCATGGGGATGGGAGGGAAGAGACCAGGTCAGGTAAAGATCTGGCTTTCTGATATCTAGGAGGGCACTGTGAACTGGGGCAGGGGAGACTATGCCAGAGGCAGCAGGGCAGCTGAGGGTTGGGAAGCAAGGACCAGAACCCTGTCCCCTGCCTCCCTCATCTCATTGCACTAAGCAAATGCTCCAGCGACTGGGCCTACCTCTAAGCAAAAGGGGTTTATGGCCCTTGGAATTTTAGGAGCAAAAATTGAGCCCAGTGCAAGCTGGGTTTCTTAGTTACCTAGTGCTGCTATAACACAAATACCACATTCCAACCTTTGGCCTCACAAATTCATGTCCTTGCCATAAGCAAAACACATTCACACCATTACATACATCCAAAGTCTTAACTCCAAGTCCAAAATTTCAGCTTCTGAAACATCTAAATCAAATATGAGTGAGACTTTAGGCATATTCTATCCTGGGGCAAAATTCCTATTCATCTGTGAACTTGTGAAATCTAGACTACAAGTTACCTGCTTCCAAAGTACAATGGTGGATGATAACATTAGGCAATGGGAGGACACCAAATAGTGCACATAAGAGATAGACAACAGATGCTAATACCAACCAATGTGTCCACAATACTGCATTGCCATTAACACCAAACAAAAGGCTACAGATAAACACATAAACACCTGAGATGATCAGAAGGGGGTCAGTGAACAGAAGTATACTCTAGACCAAGGATAGATTCAGCAGAGGCTAATCTTGCACAGACACCAGTGATACAAAATACCTGCAGTCCTTACAGAACCAATAGAAGACAGACACAGAGTAATCCCTCACAGACAACCAGACACATGGGAGAGAGATCCAATAGATGACCATCTCAGGACCATAGTACTGGGGAACACCAGACTCAATTGGCACAATAAAATACATGAAAGCCTTGCTCCACATCCTACATTGGTGAGTAGCAACTGGGATCTTAAAAGCTTTCAAGCGGCCATCTAAGATGCAGCTAACAGTCTCCTAGCATCGGAAGCAAAGAAGAATAAAAAAAAAAAAAAAAAGGACATTTGGAAGCAATCAGCCCTAGGACTCGATGGCCCTCAAGAGCAGAAGAACTAGATGGTGCCTGGCTACCAGTGCCAACCACTCAGGAAAGGATCACATCTGGAGATCCTGGATAGAGTGGTAGGGAAAACGTGGAAGAAAATCCAAAAACTCAATAATGACCAGAATTACTGGTCAGATGAAATCTGGTGAGACCCCCAATACCATGGCCCTGGAGTACATTCTGCACCTGGAATAAAACACACCCCCAGGGGCTGGCTCTGAGCCCAATAGTTAACAAGATGTACACGCAGACCACTCAACCCAGGATGATGCACCCACATACTCTATGGTAATACATCCCTTAGAACAATAGACCAACAGGCACCAGAGGACCAACATTCAAACTGAGAAAATGTAGGACAAACAGGAGTGCATAATTATGAGGGGCACAGGGGGAGGGTTGCCGGGTAGGGAGGGGAGGAGACTGGGTTAGAGTTGGACATGGTAAATGGGGAGTGAGTACACGTAACATTGAATGTAAAACAAGCTCTTAAAATTAAAAAAAAAAAATAGTAATATATATAAAAAAAAAGTACAGTGGTGGAACAGGCACAAAGTAGACATTCCCATTGCAAATGGAAGAAACTGGAGGGAAAGAAGGGACAACAGGCACCAAGCAAGTCCAAAACCCAGCAGAACAAATTACATTAACTCTGAAGGCTTGAAAACAATCCTTTCTTCTCTGAGACCATCTGGGCAACGGCCCTGCCCCCCAGGCTCTGGGTTTTGGCCATACCTTCTGGATTCTGGGTGGAGGCCTTAGCCCTAGGCTTCACCTCCACCTTCCAGGTCCACTGGGACAGCAACTCTGCTCCCCTGGCTTTGGATGTCCCCATTCTCCTAGTCCATCTGAGTGGAGATTCCAACCCCTCAACCCTGGCAGGCCCCATTTTTCTGCCCATTGGGCGTGGCAGCCCTACCCCCTCAGGTTTGGGTGGCAGCCCCATTCCCCTGGCACACCTTAATGACAGCCCCATACTACAAACTGAGTTGGCAAAGATCTGACTTTTTGGAGCCTAGGAGCCTGTGGCCCCACCCTGTGAAACCAAGAAGGCCCTGCTTCTTGTGCTCCTCCCAACAATTCTGCTGATCTCTGAGCTGCTCCAGGAAGGGTCCTTTTCTTTTCTTGAAGGACAACTGATGGAGTTCTTTTGGCCTACCTGTAGAATTCCAAGAGGCAGATAGTATTCCTTCATTTTGTTCTTACTCTATCCCCTTCAGTCTAAGCTGATGGGTATTCTGCCGTGGTAGTTAGTTAGACCCATCAGCCACAGGTTTAATCTCTTTAACAAAAATTGTGTAGCCACATCCTTAGTGAACATTCTAAGTCCATCTCTTTCCTCTTGCATTTTACTATAAGTAACAAGGAAAAACCACATGACCCCTTTAAGATCTTGCTTAGAAATTTCATTAGCCAAATATCCAAGTTCATTACTTACAAGTTCTATCTTCCACCAATCATTTGAACATAATTCAGGCAAGCTCTTTAGCACCACATAAAAAGCACTACCCTTCCTCCATTGTCCAATTACATGATCATCATTTTCTTTTAAAGCTTTCCCAGAGTACATTTTTTTTTTTCATTTTTATTGTGATTTGGCATTTCTCAAGCTGAAAGAACTGAAGGAAAAAATTCGAGTCTTGAGTTGCACTATTGAAGGATTCTATGGGCAAAATATTGAATGACACAGGAAACATCAAATGAAGATGGAAGGAATACAGAGTCACTGTACCGAAAAGAATTGGTTGATGTTCAATCATTTCAGGAGGTACCATAATCAAGAACTGATGGTAGTGAAGGAAGAAGTTCAAGCTGCATTGAAGGCCAAGGTGGAAAACAAGGGTCCAGGAACTGACAGGATCAACTGACATGTTCCAACAAATGGATGCATTGCTGGAAGTGCTCACTCATCCATGCCAAGAAATTTGGAATACAGCTACCTGGATGACCAGCTGAAAGAGATACGTATTTGTGCCCGTTCGAAAGAAAGGTGATCCAACAGAAGGCAGAAATTTTCAAATAATGTCATTAATATTACATGCAAGTAAAATGTTGCTGAAAATAAATTTAAAATGGTTGCAGCAGTACATAGACAGCAAACCGCCAGAAATTAACCCGGACTCAGAAGAGAACGTAGAATGAGGGATATAATTGCTGATGTCAGATGGATCTTGGCTGATAGCAAAGCATACCAGAAGGATGTTTACCTGTGCTTTATTGACTATGGAAAGACATTCAACTGTATAGATCATAACAAATTATGGATAATATTGTGAAGCATATGAACTGCAGAACACTTAATTGTGCTCATGAGGAACCTGTACATGGTCCAAGAGGCAGTGGTTGGAACAGAACCAGGGTATCCCTTGCATGGTTTAAATCAAGAAAAGTGTGCATCAGGGTTGTATCCTTTTATCATATTTATTCAATCTGTATGCTGAGCAAATAATTCAAGAAGCTGGACTATATGAAGAAAAACATGGCATCAGGATTGGAAGAAGACTCATTAACAACCTGCGATGTGCAGATGACACAGCAAAGAGGACTTGAAGCATTTATTGATGAAGATCAAAGACTAAAGCCTTCACAGTGTGGATTACACTGCAACATGAAGAAAATAAAAATCCTCACAACTAGACCAATAAGCAACATCATGATGAATGGAGTAAAGTCAAGGATTTCATTTTACTTGGATCTACAATCAACACCATGGAAGCAGCAGCCAAGAAACCAAATGATGTATTACATTACGTAAATCTGCTGCAAAAGACCTTGTTAAAGTGTTAAAGGCAAAGATGTCACTTTGAAGACTAAGATGCACCTGACCCAAGCCATACTGTTTTCTATCACCTTATATGCATGTAAAAGATGGACAATGAATAAGGAAGAACAAAGAATTGGTGCATTTGGATTATGGTATTGGTGAAGAATATGGAATATACCATGGACTGCCAGAAGAACAAACAAATCTGTCTTGCATGAAGTACAGGCAGAATGCTCCTTAGAAGCAAGAATGGCTAGACTTGTCCAGCTACTGCTATAACCATTTTCAGCAAAGTTTAACTCTAACTGTGCTTTGGTCATGTTGTCAGGAGGGACCATTCCCTGGAGAAGGATATCAGACTTGGTAAAGCAGATGGTCAGCAAAAAAAGAGGAAGATCCTCAATGAGATGGGTTGACACAGGGGGTGTGACAATGGGCTCAAGCTGGCAGAGATTGTGAGGATGAGGTCCAAGACTGGGCAGTGTTTCATTCTCTCATACAAAAGATTGCTATGAGTAGGAACCAACTCAACAACACCTAACAACAATGACAACATTATGGAAACTGGCAAGAATATGTGCATAACTGAGTGAGAGCAAGGCAAAAAGGGAATAGAAGGAGAAACCCAAGGCTTAGATTCCAGAACCCATTGCCACTATAGCGACCCTACAGGACAGAGTAGGATTTCCAAGGTTGTAAATCTTTATGGAAGCAGATTACCACATCTTTCTTCTACAGAGCAGCTGGTGGGTTCAAACCACTGCCCTTTGGTTAGCAGCCAAGTGCTTTAACCACTGTGCCACCAGGGCTCTATGGAGACCAGAAGAGAGAAGTATGATGGTTTTGGTAAGAGAAGGGCACTCGAAGGAGCTCCTGACCTGAAGAGCCAAGATGCTCCAGCCATCCCTGATATCACCTCTGCAGAGGGACAGAATAAGGTTTCCTGAGGTCAGTTCCCTGAGATCTACCGTGCTCAGCCTTGCACTCTCCAGTGGTTGCAGTCTCCCTGGGTCTGTGCCAGTTCAGCCCCCAGCTAACACATACAGTGCCTTTGTGCTAATTAGAAAAGGACACCCCCTTCCTGCAAACACTTTACTGACACCTGTTGGCAAACTGGCACAATACCCAGATTTTGTTGGAACCAGACACTTGACTGCCATCTGCCGGACAATTCTCATTATAAATATACAATCTGTGTAGTCTGCTACGGGAGCCCTGGTGGCGTAGTGCCTAAGGGATTTGGCTGCTAACCAGAAGGCTGGCAGTTCAAACCCACCAGCCACTCCTCAAAAGGAAGGTTGTTGGACAATCTACTTCCGTAGTGATACCGCCTCGGAAACCCAAGAAGGAGTTGCTATGAGTTGGATCTGATTCGACAGCAGTGAGTTTGGTTTTGGTTTTGTTTTTTTGCTGTCTGCTATGGATTGGACTCTTTTAGATGGAATGTCTTTGTGCAGTACACAACCTACACAACGAACCCCTGGATGTGTGCACCTGCACCCTCTTCTTCCTTTCTGGCTTGCTCTATGTAGGATGGTATAACGCTAGGATCTGGCCAGAACTTGTGGAGAATCAGCTGATGAGAACCAGGCCTTCCTGACACCCAGGGTGTCATAGGCCAGTGGGAACCATCATGTTGTTGTTGTTGTTTGCTGTCAAGTCAGACTTGACTCATAGCGACCCCTCCTTGGGTTTCCGAGGTGGTATCACTATGGAAGTAGATTGCTCAACCTTCCTTCCAAGGAGTGGCTGTTGGGTTTGAACCACTAGCCTTCTGGTTAGCAGTCAAGTGCCTTAGACACTATGCTACCAAAGCTCCCAGGAAGCATCATGGTAGACCGAAAGTCAGACCTACCTCCAAACCTCAGACTCAGGAAACGGTTCTCAGAAAGATACAGGTCAGTGGATGGGTCTGCATCAGCCATGCCCATGTCGTCCAGGAGAGGGTGCTATGCACCCATCAGAGTGCAGGACACCCAGTGGGAATGTGCTTGTTGGGATTGGCAGGCACCAGGCCAAGGGCCCATGAGCCCTGGAAGCGCACTATGCATCTGAGATGCTTCTTTATTTTCCCTTTATGACTCTACTTTGGTCTATATTTCTTAGCTTCTCTGTGGCAATCTCTGCCTCTCTTTTTCTAGGACTCTCCCAACAGGGCTGCCTGGTTTGTTTTACTGTCTTGTTGCTCCCTATGCGCTTGCCTTTCTTGGTCTCACTCACCAAGGACCCCAGACACACAAGTATGTCATGGCCTGGCCTCTGGAACATTCTGGCTTCCTCAGAGGATGGAAAGCTGGATGATCCCCGGGTAGGGGCTATACTCCTTGAAGGCTTTAGTCAGCTCAGGCATGAGGTATAAGCTGTGAGTTCCCAGAAGGGACCCATGTGCTCTCTTCAGCCCTCCATCATCCTCATACAGAGTCTTGGCCTCAGGTGCCAGGCAATCTCAGCCAGGAGCAAGGGCAAGGCCCTCATGTGGGGAATTCTCAGAGGCTCCTGCCTGTAGCTCCTTCCTAGGACTGATCCCAGGGTGTGGCTGGGGTAGGGGGGTAGATAGAGGGAGAGGTGGCTTGAGGATGGGAATGGGGGGACGGAACAGTGCCAAAATAGGTCAGAACAGACCTCTGCTTCTTTCAGACTGGCTCCTAGCCTTCAGGGCTATCAGAGAGGGGAGGGAAGGGTGACCTAGGAGGTTTTCTCACCATTTCCTCCACTTTGCCTAAAATTCCACCAGAAATATTATCACTCTGGGTGGAAGTCTTAATAGGAGACAGTATAATAGCATAGTGATTGGGTACAGGGTTATTGGACTCTGAAACATCTTATTTTTCAATCCTGGTTTGGTCACTCAAAGAAGGATTTGCTGTGTGATACCAAGCAAGTTACTTGACCTTTCTGAGCCTCAAATTCTTTATTTTGAAAAATGAGATTCACTATAGATACATTCACACATGGATAAACTGTCCAAGTTTACTCATTGTGGTCTCATTTACAGTAGCTGATGATTAAAAACAACCTAAACATCCATCAGTTGGGGACTGAGTCCTTGGGTGGTCCAAACCGTTAATATACATTTGGCTGCTAACTGAAAGGTCAGAGGTTTGAGTCTACCCAGAGGTACCTTGGAAGAAATGCCTGATGATTTACTTCTAAAAACTCAGCCACTGTGAATATTTACATTAGGTTGATATACTCCTTGGAGAGAACAATCATGGGAGAATAGAAGGGCTGTGTATGCACAGGGAGACAGCTCAGGGGGCAAGAGTGCATGGGAGGGAAGGATACAGGGAAGAGGTAACTATGGGGAGGAGGTAGGAGGGGAGCTGTTGCATTGAGGGAAATTACAGTCAATGTTATAAGACAAAGTGTATGTGAACTGCTGTATGGAAAGTGAATTTGCTCTGTAAACTTTCACCCAAATCACAATTAAAACCAAACCAAAACAAAACAAAACAAAAAACTCAGCCATTGAAAACCCTATGGAGTACAGTTCTACTCTAACATACCCAGGGTGTCCATAGTCAGAATCGACTTGATAGCAACTGGTTTTATTTTTATTTTGACTGGTTTTAAATGTCCTAAAAAGCCCCGGTGGTGCAGTGGTTAAGTGTTTGTCTGTTAACCCAAAGGTTGGCAGTTCAAATCCACCAGCTGCTCCACAGGAAAAAATGTGGCAGTGTGCTTCTGTAAAGATTACAGCCTTGTGGGGGGAAAAAGATTACAGCCTTGGAAACCCTTGGACATTCTTGTTTTTTTGGTTTCAACGTCCATCAGTAGGGGACTCCTTATATAAATAACAGTATATCTATACAGTGGAATACTATGCAGCTGTGCAAAGGGATGTTCTCATATGAAACAGTATCCAAAATTAGTAGTCAGTTGAAAAGAGCAAAGTGTAAACAATGTTTGGAGTATGCCACTGTTTATGGGAAACAAAAGTAAGGAAACAATGATAAATAGATTGTTTGTGTATGTGAAACTACTTCCTGACATCCTCATAAGAAGCAATGGCTATCTTCAGGAAAGGGAACTAGGGAACAAATTAGGGAGGAGAACTTTCACTGTAAACATTTTTTATATTTGGTTTTGGATTCCAGTCTTTGGCTGTGTCTATATTTTGAAATAATAAAATTGTTTTTAAAAGGTAAAAACAAAAATGACATGGGATCCTAACAGTCTATGCCTCATGAGGCTCTTCTGAGACCTGTAGGGATAAAATGATGCCTGGCCCACTCTACAGGGTGCTCTGCCAACAGGCACTATTATAGATGACCACTCTTGCTCATTTGCAGCCGTCTCTGGAGGGGAACAGACAGGAGCCAGCAGTTGAACTGACAGTGTAGACCCTTCCTACTCAATGTGTGACCTGTGGACCCACAGCATCAGCACCACCAGAGCGCTTGTTAGAAACAGAATCTTAGGCCCCACTCCAGACCCACTGAATCACAGCCTGCATTTTAACAAGATGCCCAGGGGATTCCTACGCACATTGGAGCGTGAGAAGCACTGGAGAGAAGCTAAGCCGGGGTGTACACTGTCCCAAAGAGTGTGCCAGGCTGGAGGGAACCTGGGAGGAGCCCGGTCAAGAGGACAGGAGCCCAGATAGGAGTGCCTTAACCCTAAACTGTTGTATCTCCAAGTTTGTCTAGACCTACTAGGCTTCAGTTTCTGGATTGAAGATTTGGTTGAGTCTCTCCTGCTATTCCCCACACTCATTCCTGCCCTCAGGGTGAAGCTTGATGGAGGCTGGGAGTGTGTGATGGCTAAATTTATGTTTCAACTTGGCTAGGCTAAGATTCTCAGTGGTTTGGCAAACAGTTACTGTTTCGTAGTGTAATGTAAACATTTTCCATGAGGTGATCAGCTAATCAGTTGAAAGGGCAGATTCCTTGAGGGTGTGGCCTGCGTCCAGAATACAGATGTTCTGGCAGAGCTTGTTCTGTCTAATCCTGCATTCATCTCCTTGCCTGACCTATGGATCTTGGGTTGCAAACCTGCATAAGTCTCTGGCCTGCCCCCTACTGACAGATTTGGGACTTGCCAGCCCTCACAATTGTGTGAGCTGTTTTCTTGAAGTAAATCTCCCTAGATAGATTAAATAGATAGGTAAACAGATAATGGATAGATAGACAGATAGATAGATATAGATATATAGATATATATAAACAAGTTTCACTAGTTTTTTCCTCTAAAAAACAAACAAACAAAAAAATCTCATTGCCATTGAGTTAATTCTGACTCACAGGGACCCTATAGGACAGAGTAGAACTGCCTCATAGGGTTTCCAAGGCTGTAATCTAATGGAAGCAGACTGCTATGTCTTTCTCCCATGGAGCAGCTAGTTAAGTTCAAACCTCCAATCGTTCGGTTAGCAGCTGAGTGCCTAACCACTGTGCCACCAGGATTCCTTGGCAGGGGGCTCCTCTAGAAAACCCAAATTCAGACAAAGGACCTCTCACCTTCATCCCAGCCACATCGATGCGGGTCCTCACGTGGAAGTGGGCGCCCACCTGGATGACCCTGGGCACACAGTATAGCAACATGTTGTTGAACTGCAAGAGACACAGACATGAGACCATTGAGGGCATGTGTGAGCATGTGCATGGGCAGTGGTGGGAGGGAGGGTCAGGTGGGATGATGGTCAGGTGGAGCTCCTCAATGTACACTGAGAACACAGGGTCTCCTTCCCCACTCCCTGCACTCTGAGCCAGCTCATAAGACATCACAGGCATGGCAAGGGAGGGGTTGTCTAGACTCCAGAACAATTAGAGAGGTCACTAAAGGGTTTCCCTACCTGTGGGCATCAAGAGTCACAGCAGACCTTGGAAACCCACAAGGTCTTTTCTCACAGGAGCTCAGGGCTTGTGAGAGGCTGTGGCCCCATCCCCCAGACCTCCAGGCAGACCCATGTGTCCAAATCTCCAGGAGATCCCCTGGCTTCTTCAGTGCCAATCAAGGCGGTTCTTCCTGTGGCTAACCTAATTCCCTCTTTCTGTGCTTGCTCTGCAGTGTCAATGCCATAGGTTTGGAGCCAAGCCAACTGGGTTCAAACACTGTCTCTGTTGCTTTCTAGGACATGTGTGGGAAACCTGTGTGTTGGAAATTCTTGAGGCCTGGAAACAGCACGTGACTTGTCCAAAGTCACCCAGGTACCAAAGACAGAGCAGGACAGAGAAGCCTGCCCTTCCTTGCTCTTCCTGCAGTAACGGGTTGAGGCCAGGCAAGCAGTACCTGGGACAGAGTGGCCCATGGATTTCTCTCACCAGGGTGGACAGCAAACCCTAACACCTCCTACCAAGAACAGGTAGCGCTCCATGGGGTCACTGCGGCGGAAGGAGATCTTGAGGACGGGGCCCTCGCGGAGCAGAGTATTGGAGGGGTCTACCATGTCATCCTCAAGGCCCAGGCGCTGGTACACCTCCCACAGATCCTGCAGCCGCTCCTAGGGATGGGGTGGGGGCAGCACACTCAGCCAAGGGCAGGCAGGGCCCACCTACTTCTGGAAGGTCAGCCTTATGGAGCTGGGGACAGAGGCTGTGAGGAGGAAAGTGGCAGAGGGGACAACTGTCATGGAGTGGGGCCAAGGATGAGTGGTTACAGTGACCATGGCATGTTGCAGGGATGCTGAGACTTGCAGGGCTCCTGGGGATGCCCGCTGTTCCCACCCCCAGGCTGGGCTGCTCACCATCTCTTTTATGGCTGCATTGGAGTGCTGAGCAGCTGAGAAGATCATGTCGAGGGCTTCTGAAGGGGACAGCGACAGAGTTATCCCTGAAACTCTGGGGCTGATGGCTGGGCCAGGAGGTCCTTGAGGCTTAACACAGTGACCTCAGGATCCACCATGTCCACTCCCAGGAGCAGCCCTGCCTGTGCAAACCAGCAAATGGGGGTACTTATACAATGGGGGCTATTTCCCACCCTAGGGTAGAGAGAATGGAAGCCACCAAAAGGCAGTGAGTAAGCACCTGCTTCTGTGACTCTCGCTGCTCTGCATACCAAGTAAGACCCAGAGGATGTAGTGTGAAGGCATGGGCTGCAGCATCTAACAGACATGGGTTCAAATCGTACTCTGTTCTGTTCTGGCTGTGTGACCTTAGGCCAGTCACTTAACCTCTCTGGGCCTTAGCATCCAGATAAGGGTACTGATACTGTCTATGAAATGCCTAAAATTGATGTTAATAACTGATGATTATAATAACTATTTTAATAGATGTTAATAAATCTATTGGAGGACCTTGGGACACCCCAGCCCCTTGGGCCCCCCAGAGGTGTTCTCACTCTGGGCATCATCCCGGTCTGGGGCCTGGGCAGGTAGCTTCTGGACATACTCCTTGAGCAGCAGCTCATAGCGTGGAATTCTCTGCACAGGCTCCAGCATATGGTGCTGCAGGGTCAGGCTGCCTGAGGCCTCACTGTTCTTGAAGATGAATGGGAAGAAGAATAGGGGGTATGGCAGATGTAAGAATGCTGAAGGGAGGGTAAGGCTGCCCTTGAGCGTCAGGGGACAGGGCAAGGTAGGCGAGTACTGGGGCCTATCCAAGCAGCTGAGCTCAGGAGAGGACTGACAGGCCCTGGTGCGAGTGTGGCCCAGGATCCTTCAGGAAACTCAGCCACTGAACACTGGGGGTGGCAGCATTCTGGGCCCCAGCCTCACCTGGATGCGAGTGATAACCTCCTGGAATTGTGGGGACTTTTCAGTCCAGGTGGCTAGCAGCTCAGCGGCTCGTTCAAAGTTCTTGACATACTCACTGTACATCTTTAGGAAAGGAGCCAGCTTCTGGATCATGTCACCAATGCGTGGGGTGGCTGTCCTGCCAGAAGGGCCCCAGGCATTACCCTCAGCCTGCAGGCCTCCTTTTCTCACCTCTGACCCACTGCACTTCCCTGCAGGCACAGGGGAGGACTATATTGTCCTCACACACACACACCACACACACACACACACACACACACACACACACACGTGTGTAGCTGAGCCCTACCTGCACCCTGCCCTGCCACTTAGAGCTCCCTGAAACACAGGGTGTTCTCTTACAGGGATTAGTTTTCCCCACAAGATCCAGCAGTATTGGCCCCACCAAAGGTGTTCAATAACTACTCCATGTCTGATTACACGATAGCAATGAGGACCACATGCTAAGTACTGACCAAGACATGTCTCATCTCATTTAATTCTCTCAACAGCCCTAAAGATGGAGACAGTCATTAGTCCATCTTAGAGATAAGGAAACTGAGGCTTGCAGGGGTAAAAACTTATCCAGCATCAGCCTGGTAGGGCCTGAAGGTCACACACCCCAGGCACGATTCCAGTAGAGCAGTAAGGAGCTGACCTGAGTTTGATTTCCAAATATACCTCTTACTCTAGCTCTGTGTTTTTGGGCAAGTCAATTACCCTCTCTGGGCCTCAATTTTCCCATCTGAAAAATGGGAATAATGATAGGTGACCTCAGAGTGTTGTTCTTTTTTTTTTAAAGAAAAATTATTATGAAAATGTCCAAGCAATCATAAAGTAAAGAGAACATAATAATGAAGCCCCAGATAGCCTAGATTTAACAATTACTAACAGTTTGCTATCTTTCTTTACTTTTGCCAAAGAATTTTAAAGGACATCCCAGGCCAGGCATCATGACATATCTTTGGCAAAATATATAAAGCAAGTAATCTGACTACACGCTTTAGTGGTCACCTCTGAAAACAAAAAAGGATTCTTTTATAACCACAATCATCACAAAGCAGGCTGTTATGAAGATACGTGAGTTAATATGTTCACAGCATAGGGCCAGACTTTGTAGGAAGCCCTCGGCTAGCATTGCCTGTTTCCTCCTAAGTCACTAGGTCCCAGGACACAACCCGGCCTCCAGAACTCATTCACCCAAACCCTTCTTTGTGCGGCCAGACCAGGGCCCCAAGGAGGAGATTGCCATGGCCATACAACAAGGACAGGGGCCTAACAAGACAGCCCAACCATCCAGAGGGCTGCACTCCTAACTTGGCCAGGCTACAGACAGGGGGCCTCAGGGCTCCCAGCAGACCTCACCAGTCATCCAGCCGCCGCTGCAGCTCTGGGAAGAAGAATTGAGAATGGAACTGGTAGATGGAGGAGATGTTGGAGAAGATGAGCCTGACCACGTCCTCAGGGAAGGCCTTGCTGCTACGGGCCTCCTTCAATAGCTCCTGGAAGAACACCTGCAGCCAGGTTCCAGGTCACTCAGCCTGCAGGAGAGGGAGACCCACCCACCAGCCTAGGAGGAGACTTGAACAGCTCAGTGGGACTCTGCAGCCTTCTCTGGTCTACTAAGTGCTTCACCTCCTTAATCTCCCAACATCCTCACAACAAGCTGGAAAACAGATAGGCAGGGTAGATTGTATTCTGGCCATTTTATAGATACGCAAACCAAGACCTAGGGACACAGGGACTTGACCAAGGTCTGGAAGCTGAGGAACATCGGAAATGGGATGGGTCTGCCAAAGTCTTGGTCTCCACCAGGCTAGAGATCCTGGTGCTGATGGCTACTGTGCCAATGATTCAACTCTAGAGCCTCAGGGCTCCTTAAGAAAGTGTGAAGTTGCTGGCTAGTTAAGAGACATGTGTTGATCTGGGTGAAGGGAAAGGGAGTATAACAAAAAATGTGTGACCAAGACAATATCACTAAGGAAAAGGAAGACAGAGGGTGGTGCACAAGAGGTACAGATAACAAAGGTAAATACTATTACTTACACAATACTGCATTATCATAAATAACCAACACTAATCTATGGGTGGATACATAGGTAGACAGGCTAAATGATCAGGTATGTGTAGGCAAAAGGGAATATACCCAAGACCGTAGGTTTGGCAGATGATATTTATACATACATATTTGTATGTGCTATAAAAATGTCCATATACATTATAGAGCTAACAAGGGGACAATGTTAGGATAACTTCTTAGCCACAACCAGGCACCTTGAGGGAGTGAGTCACTGGGCCTGTGGACTCAGGACTGTGGTTGTGGGGGACATCAAGCTCAACTGGCACAACATAGTACAGCAAAAACATTGTTCTACATCCTGCTTTGGTGAGTAGCAATTGGGGTCTTAAAAGCTTATGAGCAGCTATCTAAGATACAACTATTGGTCTCTCCTCATCCAGAGCAAGGAATAGTGAAGAAAATCAAAGACGTATGGAAACAATTAGTCCAAGGGACTAATGGACCATGGGAATCTCAGCCTAAACAACCCTGAGACCAGAAGGACTAGATTGTGTCCAGCTACCAATGCCAACCACTTGGAAAGGGATCAGAATTGGAGATCTGGGATTGAGTGGGAGAAAAACGTGGAGAAAAATTCAAAAACATAAAAAAAGACCAGGATTACTGGTTGGGTAAAGACTGGTGAAACTCCCCCAGGACTATGGCCCTAAATTACCCTTCAGGCCTGGAACTGGACTCTCTCCCAGGGGTTAGCTCTCAGCCAAACAGTAGACAGACCTATGAACTGAACTACACCAGGGAGATGCAACCAATCAATCAGTCGATCAATGAAAGTGTGAAGGGGTGACAATGGTGAAGATATGGGCATTGTAATGACCAGTGAGCCTGGAAGACTGCCTGGTGTATCCTCTGCTTCATGTGGGGTTGGTCTAAAAACACCAAGGGTGGAAAGGGGACTGGCATCAATGGGCTAAATCCTACTTTCTACCCCAACTTTAGCCAATGGAGTTAAAGGGCTAAGAGCTTGCTGGAGTCAAACTCAGGGGTCCTAATTGTCAGTTATGGTGAGGTAAGTCAGAAGAGCAGGGGTTGGGTGAGGTGGGTCAGAGGGAGACCAGGAGTGGAGTGAGGAGACTAGGGCTCTGGGGCCCTGGTGGGAGGTGTCCTAGACACTGGCCTGGTCCAGCAGATGGAGGCGTGCTACATAGGCCTGTTCTGTCTCCAACAGCTCCTGGACAATCCTCTTCTCAGGCTCCTAAACAGAGATACGAGGGCAAGAAGAAGAGGAGAGAGAGCTTTGGTATCCTCTGATGGGGACCATGGGCAACAATACACAAAGATGACCCAATGAAGCACACCGTCCTATATTCACACCCTCCTCCTCCCCATCCAGTACATCTGAGCTGGGCTTAGGGTCACTTTAACTGATAAAATGTGGCACATCTAAGGCTGTGCCAGTTCTAGGCCAAAGCCTTAAGAGGCCTAGAAGCTTCCATTTGTGTACTCTTGGGAGCCGCGAACCACCATGTTAAGAAGTCTGGGTACCCTGATGAAGAGACCTCATGGAGAGATGACATGGAGAGCAGAGGTCCTGAGACAACATGGAGAGAACAGGTAAGGGGCAGCTCAAGGTCCCTGCCACAACACCAGGCTATGAGTGGAGCTGTCTCAGGCATTCCAGTCCTGGCCACCATCTGACTGCAGCCATGTCAGAAACCCTAAGTAAGACCAACAGAACAACCTTCTAGCTGCAACATGGTCAACCCACAAAATTATGATCAAAATAAATTGTTGTATTAGGCCACTGTGTTTGGGGTGGTTTATCATGTAGTAATTGATGACCATAACACACTGCCATGTTCATCCTCTCCGTTTCACAAACAAGGAAACTGAGGCACAGAGGCTAAAGTGACTTCCCAAGGTTATACAGTTAGCAAGCAGTCAAGGTGGGATGGGAACCCAGGTGGGCTGGTTTCAGGGTGCACAGCTTTGAAAACCCTACAGGATGCAGTTCTACTTTGTGTACATGGGGTTGCCATGATTTGGGGCAGGAAGTTCTTCAGGGACAGGAATTGGCACTCAGATTTCTATTTATAATTTGGAACTCTTGCCCACTTCAGTAGGTAAAGCGAGGCCCCACCTGGGGAGGATACCAGGTTCACAAGATAGAAACTGTTGTACTATTCCAAGCTGTTTGGCCTTGGTCAAGTTCCTTAAGCTGTCTGAGTTTCAATTTCTTTGCTGGAAAATTCTAGAGTGAAGGAGATGTGAAATAATGCTGGCAGTAGGGTATATGATAGACAGGTGATCAAAGGCTATTAACAGACTGGAATGTTTTAGCTTCCAGCTGATCTCTGGTTTCACAAGACCCCCATCTAGAGAACTGCTGGCTCTGAATAGGGGTTTGGAAGAATGTGTGAGGAGGAGGTCAGTGGAGGGGCCCCCTTCTCCCCACCTCAGACCCAGCCCTCAGATACCTGTATCCCTGACCCAGGATCGGTCCTGGGCTGGCACGAATTCCTCCAGGCCCCACTGGACAGTTTGTTCTTCAGGGAGCTCAGGTACCTCCTACTGACCATCTTGGGTCCAGACCCCAGGGCATCTCCTAGGCTGTGTTTCTCCGATAACCCTGGAGGCTGGGGAGGTCTGCACCCAGAGTGGTGATGTTTGTCCTCCTGCCTGTGAGCTCTGGGTACTGCTCCTGGGGTCCTGAAGAGAACAGAGTAAACCTGAGGGTTCCCTTGTCTATAGAATAGGGAGAAAGTAAAAACACCTCCAGGGGCTGGGGAGGGATGGCAGGGTGATGAACCCAAATTACCATGTGCAGTGGCTCCCAAGTGCCCTGCACTCATAGGATCTTGCTGAGTAGGGCTTCCACTTCCTGCTGACACCATTCTTGGGGGGAACGCTAGCCTTCAAAATGAGTCAGTGTGGACAGTATTTTATTCTCTGGGGAACTACCTACTTCCCTGTTTATACAGGAGCCCCCTCTTCTGCACACAGAGGCTTACTTTCACCTTTGGACTTACTTACAGGGCAGTCCTTATCACTCTGTTCTGCTTCTGCAAAGGAAAGACCCTAGAAACCTTAATAACTGATACAGCAAGGGAAGGTGGGAGCCATGGAACAATATAAAGTGAGAGCTGGAGCTTTTCAAGGGTGAGAGCTGTGCCTTCCACATTTCCCACGGGGGAGGAAGCCAGCCTGCAGAGTTCTCCTGCTCCCTCATAAAGCAGCTTCGTTCCTGGGTTCATGTTGTTGTTGTTATGTGTTGTCGAGTCAGACCCGACTCATAGAGACCACTCCTTGGGTTTCCGAGGTGGTGTCACTACAGAAGTAGATTGCCCAACCTTCCTTCCTAGGAGTGGCTGGTGGGTTTGAACAGTCAGCCTTCTGAATGGCAGTCAAGTGCCTTAGGCATTACACTACCAGAGTTCCTGGGTTCATAGGCTAGTTAAATTCCTTAGATAACAGAGGCCACCCTCACTGACTATATCCAAGGACTTGGGCTGTTCCTCATGCTCCTTGGTGTGGACAGGTTTGAGATGACAGCACATACTAGGCACGCTCATGAGTAAGGTAAGCTAGAAAATGGAGGACTACAGAGGCACAAAATCTCTAAAAGTCATTGAGGAAGGTTTTCATTACCTCTAATTTGCTGCTAAGGAGACTGAGGTAGGAGAGGATAAATTACTTGCCTTTGACCACACAGCTAGGAGGTGGCAGAGGTGGGATTCAAACCAGGTAGGTTGGCTCCTGCACCTTCTCCCTAAACTGCTTCTCCTTATTTGAGTAAAGCAGAAACAGGTTTAGAGAGTCAAAGTTACTTGCCCCAAGTCACATAGCCAGTTAGTTGATGGCAGAGAAAGGAGCAGACCCAACTTCTGACTTACTCCCAGGCACTTCCACCCCTTGCTGGCACCTCAGCCAAGCAGTCAGCAGCTCAGTAACTGTGTAACTGGGCCTTGGGTTTTCTGTTCTACATTTGGTTTCTGCTTCTGCATTTCTCCCCAAGTACCCCAGGCCAGCTTCTGTTTCCTCTTCACCCTTCAGTTTCAGATCAGCTAAGGCTCTGGAGCCCTCACAAGAAATCCTAGGCCAGCACAGTTGGCAGAGAGTCTCTCACTAAATAAGGGGTGACACTCATCTTCCCAGACAAGGCTGCTTGGAGCCCACTCTGGTCCAAGGCTCCCTCCTCCATGCCTGGGTGTTTCCTGGGCAGAGCACAGCATGCAAAGGATCTCCATCCAAGCTTGCCTATTCCATGCCTGGCATTCTAGGTGAGGTGGACCCATCTCCCAACACCCAAGAGGGTGATGGACTAGGAAGGTGGCATCATGAGAGCTGTCCTCGGTGCTCAACAGAATGTGCTTGGCAAAGGACTCTGGGAAAGGCAGAGTAAGGTCACCTAACTCAGAAAGTAGAACACTCTTCCATGTCCATATCTATGCCACCTCCACCTTGAAGCCTGCCCTAGTATTCTCAACACAGCATCCAGGTCCTTCCTAGGACATCTATTGTACATGACCTTGCATCATGGATATTACAGCATGAGCTTAGCATTGAATTGGGAGAAAGATGAGGCAGTCTCCTTCTGAAAAGATGTGTAGCCCTGGGAACCCTATGGGGCAGTTCTACTCTGTCCTAGAGGGATGCTATGAGTCAATTGATTCTACAGCAGTGAGTTTGGGTTTAGTATTCAAAGACAGGAATCCTCCAGGCAGGGGTAGCGTTTTAGGCTCCTGCATCCTGCACAATCCCTGTGAGATGCAGTTCTCTTCTGCCCATGCCTCCATTCAGGACGGAGGCACTTTTTTCCACTTCCCACGCCTCTCCCCCCACTCCAGCACTGGCAGTATTGGTGGATGATGGGCTCTCACTTGAGCCCCTCTGGAGGCACTACCCTCTGTGGAAGGGAGCTGCCTAGCCCACAGTCATGACCCCTCCCCAAGAGCAGCCCACATGCAATGGCTAGTCAAGTGGGGATAAAAAGATCCTTCCCCTTTGCCTCAATTGGAACAACCCTGAAGGGCCATTCCATCCAGAGCTCGCTGGGACAGGCCTCTGTTGCAACTGCACTACAGTTCAGCTTCTCCCTCCACCCAATACTGTGCCTCTTACCCGGCCCCCCCCCCCAATCAGGTGTTTTCCCAAAAGCTCTCCCTAGTAATTCTCCTGAAGCAAATCTCCATCTCAGGGTCTTTTCCCAGAGACTCCTACCTATGACAGTCCCAAACACAGTCCTGGGCTTATTAAATGCCTGCTGAATGAATTAATGTCACACACACACACACACACCTTGCCAGGGATACCAATGACCTACATAATCTGGTCCAGCCCTTCCCCTTCAGACAGAATTCCCAGCAGTGCCCAACAGCATATGAACTTGAAGTATATGGCATCCTCACCTCTCTGTGCTTTCATTTCTTCATCTATACAATGGAAGTAGTAGTAGAACCCACTCCCACTTAGGCTGTTAGGCTGATTAGATAAAAGGAGTAAGGAAGTACATGTAGGTCAGTGCCCATAGGTAGAGTGAACGTGCATCCAGGTTTGCCCAAGACAGTCCCAGCTTTACTTGTTATCCCAGAAAAATAATAATAGCATCCACTTTCAGTTTTAAATGTTTGAAACTGGTTTGAATGATAAATTATATGGTTATGCTACTCATGGAAGTGAATGCTGGATAAATAAATATTAGTTATTCTTTCTGTGAGGTGCTAGAGGGGTAGGGGGTGGAGTTGGGCATCCCAAACACTGCCTTTGATCTTCCCACGCTCACTCTTAATAGCACAAACACATGTCTGGACTCTCCCTGATGCACACAAGTCACACTCACCCCAGCCCAGCTCCTGATGCCCCAAGAGATACTCTCCCGGACTCCCAAGAACCCATAACTAGGGACCTTGGTGCACCCCAGACAGGGGGAGGTAGAGCCCAGAGGGAGGGCAGCTCCTAGGAGGGGCCCAAGGAGGCCCAGGCCCTATTCCCCAGAGTGGAGACTGGAACAGTCTGTGCTGCCTGAGGGCCCGGGTGTGGGCAGAGGGACTAGAGGAAGGCTGCCAGCCTCCATAGTGATCCTTCTGACCCCAGCCATACCATACCTGCTGCTCTCAAACACAGTCACCAGGTTGGACACAGATGCCAATTTCTCCTCATTCAACCCCTCCATCGTTCAGGCCTCCAGGCTGGTCTTCAGTTACCCTTCAAAGCAGCAAACACTCTTGGCCACTCCAGCCTGGGGGCATGGAGGGGCTAAGATGTTCCAGAATCTTCTCCCATCTTTCCTGAGGTCTCTGCTGGCCTGCTCTTTCCTTCAGTAGAGAAAACAGGAAGTTGTATCAGATCACGGCCCTGAAGGGAGGAGTCCCCTCCAGCCCTGGGTCCGCCCTCACAAGGACTGACCTTTAACCCTGCAGACCCCCAGGTCCAGAATCTACCCCTGAGGAGGCAACAGGACTCAAAGGTCGTTTCTGGAGCCACACCCTTAACTGACTTTTTTGGCCCTAATGTCTCTGGTCAACCACACTTGCTCCCTCACATGTCCAGTGGCTTATACTCAGTCCCTTTCTCAGTAACTTCTTTTCTGTGTCTGACCCTGCTCATTGCTTTAAGAAAATAGCTTCTTTAATTAAAAATAGATTAGAAACATGTTTAAGGCTGACCTGAGAAAAGCCCCAGGAGGAGTACTGTGGTGTTTCCACCTCCTCACTGGGGTTCTTTCCACCTCTTTGTCCCAGGGGAGGGCAGCTTCCTCTCTGAAACTCTAATGATAATACATAATAGCTAACACACTCTTTTTAGTGCTTTACAAGTATTATTTGATCCTATATGAGCCCAGGGAGCTCTGGTAGCATAGTGGCTAAGACACTTGTCTGCTAACCAGACGGCTGGTGGTTCAAACCCACCAGCCACTCCTCGGAAGGAAGGTTGGGCAATCCTACTTCCGTAGTGAAACCAAGGAGGGGTCGCTATGACTCGACGGCACATAACAACAACAACAACATATCAGCCCTACGTGGTAGGTCCTATTACTATCTCCATTTTACAGAAGAAGAAGAAACCAAGGATCAGAGAGGTTAAGTAACTTGCTCAAGACCACACAGGAGAACGCAAGAGAAGTCAGATTTCCAAAGCAAAGTTGGGTATCCTACAATTCCAGCAAAGACTTGGCTGAGAGCCTGGATAACTGCATTCTTGATGCTCCTAGCACACTGGCTTGTCTCTGCTTGGTGTCTTCTGTACCACCTGGCCTCCCATTCCTTCCAGAACAAATAACACTGCCTTGTTCTCCTCATTCAAGTCTTGTGGGCCATGCAAGCAGGCCTCTCCCACTGGGTTCTGGTCTCATCCTGAGACAGGGTCCTCTGTTGTGATTGGTCTTTGTCCTAGATTATAGGGACTGAGCCTTAGTCATCTTGGTACTCAGAGTGCCTGGCACAGCTTTACACTCCAGCAATTGTGAACCCCTTCAGCTTCACATGCTCAACAGCCTGGCTCTCTGAGTTTTGCCTGAGCTGTTTCTTCCACCAGACATCTGACTCCTCTATCCTCAACCTAAATCTTACTCATTTTCTTCACTTTTTTCTTTTTTGTGTTTACTTTTATTTTAACCCCCATGCCTCTCTCCCTCCCTTCCTCAAAAAAAAAGACCCTCACAATAGCCAAAAGGTAGAAGCAACCTAAATGCCCATCAACAGATGAATGGATAAACAAAATGTAGTATATACAATGGAATGCTACTTAGCCAGTAGGAGAAATGAAATTTTGATACCTGCTAACATATGAATGGGGGAGCTCTGGTAGCATATTGCCTAAGGCACTTGACTGCTAACCAGAAGGCTGGTGGTTCAAACCCACCAGCCACTCCTCGGAAGGAAGGTGGGCAGATTGCACTTCCGTAGTGATACTGCCTCGGAAACCCAAGGAGGGGTCGCTATGAGTCGGGGCTGACTCAACGGCAAATAACAACAACAACCATATGAATGGAGCTTGGAAACATTATGCTGAATGAAATAAGCCTATCACAAAAGGACAAATAGTGTATGACTTCATTTATATAAAAAGACAAGAAAGGGGAAATGTATAGAGACCAAAGCTTATTAGTGGTTACCAGGGGTGAGTGGGAAGGAGGACAAAAAGGTTGACAGTGATAGAAAAATCACATTGATTAAAAGTAGCTTCACACAGTCAATTGTTGTAATTGCTATTGCACACCTGTAAAAGTCAAATTGGCAAATGTTGTGAGATATATTTACAATAATAACAATAAAAAGAGTGGCTGCTGAGGCTGCTTATGTATAACCAAACACCTCATGGGATTTGTTTCCTTGACTTAGATGGAGGTTCAGGGTCATGGTTTCATGAGACATCCAAGTTAACTGACCTAATAATGTGCTTAATGCTTCTGTTCTACCTCCCAGTTTGGTGTGTTGTGCCTGGAGTTTTAAAAGCTTGCAAGTAGCCATCCAAGGCACAACAACTGGTTCTATTCACCTGGAGCAACAGAGGAAGAAAGAGTGTGAGCACTAGAAGGAAAATATGGAATGTTTGGCTAACTGCCTCCATGAACAACTGCCTCCTTTGCCATGAAACAAAAAGAACTGGATAGTGCCTGGCTATCGTGACTGAACATTTTGATCAAATATTCCCTAGAATAATCCTGATCAAAAGGGAGAAAATGCAGAACAGAATTTAAATTCCCATGGACTCTGGACTTTCTGGAGGGTGGATGGACCCTTGAAACTCTTACCTTGAGATAATCTTTTCACCTTAAACTGAAAGTATCCCCGAAATCTTCTTAAAACCAAACAATGGTTCAGTTTAACTAGGAAAAAAGGTCTACCCTGAGCATTAAGTTCTTTTAAGAACTATTTATATGGGATCAAAGGAGCTCTGGTGGTGTAGTGGTGAATGTATTTGACTGTTAACTGAAAGTTTGGCAGTTTGGACTCACCAGCCATTCTGCAGGAAAAAGAGGAGGCAGTCTGATTCTGTAAAGATTTATAGCCCTGGAAATCCTAGGAGACAGTTCTATTCTGTGCCATAAGGTTGCCATGAGTCTCAATCAACTCAATGGTAGTGGGGTTTTTTTGTTTTGTCTGGTATATGGTATCAAATTGACAACAGCAACTTGAAAGATTAGAAAGAAACCTTAGAGGGCAATGAGTTAACGTTAATGTGGGAACAACTCAAAAAAGGAGGGTGAGAATTGTCGCACAACCTGAAGAATGTAGCCAATGTCACTAAACTGTACATGCAGACACTGTTGAACTGGTGTATGTTTTGTTGTGTATATTCTCAACAACAATGAAAGAAGTAAAATTTAGAGAGGAAAAGTTTTAAATTTTGATCAAGCCTAGACTATTTTTCCTCTCTTGTTCATGCTTTTGGCATCATATCTAATAATCTGTTGCCTAAAAGAAGGTTCTGAAGATTTATCTCTGTTTTTTCCTGGGTTTTATGGTTTTAGCTTTTATATTTAGGTCATTGATCCATTTTGAATTAATTTTTGTATATGGTGTGAGCTGTGGGTCAAACTTCATTCTTTACATGTGGAGATTCAGTTATCTAGCCCCATTTATGAAGAGGCGATTCTTTCCCCATTGAATGTATTTTGCACCCTTATCAAAAATCAATTGCCCACAGATATATAACTTTATTTCTGGATTCTCAGTGATATTCCATTGGTTTATATGTCAATCCTATGACACAGTACCACACCAACATAATTACTGTAGCTTTGTATTGTGTTTTTAAAATCAGTATGTATGAGTCCTCCAACTTTGTTCTTCTTTTTCAAGATTGATTTTTGGCTATTTTGGGACCTTTCAATTCCATATAAATTTGAGGACTGGTTTTCCCCTTTTTGCAAAAAAGGCTGTTGGAATTTTAATACAGATTATATTGTATCTGTAAATAACTTTGGATAGAATTGACATCTTAACAAAATATTATTTTAGTCTTCCAATCCATGAACATGGGATGCCTTTCCATTTATTTCCAAACCAATTCATTGCCATCAAGTCAATTCCAACTCATAGCAAACCCCACTGGGTTTCCAATGCTATAAATCTTTATGGAAGCAGACTGCTCATTTTTCTTTCATGAAGTAGCAGGTAGGTTCAAACCACCAACCTTTTGGTTAGCAGCCAAATGCTTAACCACTACACCACCAGAACTCCTTCCATTTATTTAGATCTCCTTCAATTTCTTTTAGCACTATTTTACAATTCTCAGTGTGAAGGCCTTTCACCTGCTTGGTCAAATTTATTCCCAGGTTAGTTGTTCTTTTAGATATTTTATAAAAGGAATGGATTTTAAATTTAGATTAAATGGATTAAATAATTTAGATTATTTGTTGTTGGTATATAGAAGCACAAGTGGTTTCTGTGTGTTGATTTTGTACCCTGCAACTTTGCTGAATTCATTTATTAGTTCTATTTACTTTCTTGAGGATCTTTTGGGGTTGTCTATAGATAGAATCATGACATTTGCAGAAAGAGATGGTTTTACTTTTTTTTTTTCTTTTTCCTTTTTGTGCTTAATTATTCTGGCTAGGGCTTCTAGTACGATGTTGAATAGCAGTGGTCAGAGCAAGCATCCTCATCTTGTTCTTGATCTTAAGCAGAAAGCTTTTGGTCTTTCACTGTTGAGTGTGATGTTCATACTCATATTTCCACCATTGAGTATGATATCAGCTTTTTGTAAATGCTTTTTTACTTTTTATTACATAGAACTTAGAACATATGAAAAAGTAGACAGAATAAGCTAATGAACCTCCATGAACCCATAACCCAGACCCAACAACCATCAATTCATGGCCAGTTTTGCTCTATCCACAGCCATATCCAATCCCCCTTCCCATATTATTGTGATGCAATCCTAGATATCATATGCTTTCACCCACAAATATTTTTTATCTAAAAGGTAAGAACTCTTAAAAAAAAAATACACACACATTTATTTTTAAATAACTAAATTTATTTTTAAATGTTTATACAAACA